TCCCTGGAGTCTCCAGAAGGAAGGCCACCCTGCCAGTTCATTTTTTGACTTCTGCCCTCCAGAATGGTAAGGCCATACATTTGGGTTAAGTCCCTGGGTTTGTGGTAATTTGTTAGAGCAGCGACAGAATACTAGTGCTGGCTCAAAACCAAAAGGGCGTGGTGTCCAGGAGTCAAGTATATCAAGGAGTGAGCACCAGGCCAAGAGCTGCTGCCAGGCCAGGGGAGATAAGGTGGGAACTGACCACCAGGGTCAGTGAGGTAGTAGAGCAGCTTTCAGAGGAATGGGGTGCTTGTTACCCGTGTGTCTGAATGAATGAAGACAGCATGTGGACCAATGATGAGTGTGTGCCTTAAGGAAAGTAAGTACAGAAAGGGAAGGTGATGGATGCTGCTTGGGTATCAGTTTGTGGTTTTTTTCCTTGGAATGTTCCCAAAGGTAACGACTCTTTGGTATTTCTGGATTCCTGTTTGTTCCTTTTTATTTCCCTCAGAGAATCCTAATTTCTGATCTTCCCTCCCAAATTGGGTCTCGAAGCCCCCTTTTCACGGGATTCTGAGGTGACCCCAGGCAGCACTCCAGAAGCCTGAGTTTCCTGAGATACCGGGGTCCCTGGATGCTCTACCCGTTGGCCCGAGACTCATCCTCCAGACAAGACTCGCCTGGCGCCACAGCAGGCCAGAGCTTGGAAGTCCCTGGCAGGTACCAAAGGGTGGTGGCTGCTGATCGGCCAGGCAGCCTCACTGAGAAGCCCTCTTCTAGGTGAGGCAAATCTCAACCCCCTTCCATTGGCAGACTTCTCCCGGCCTCGGTGCTCTACAGGTGGGGGCAGTTTGGCTAGTTCCCCAAGCGTCATTTTTTTTTTAAACGGATTTCTCAGCTCAGACAAGCTTTCCAAGTGGGGCTGTGCTCAAGATGTTCTGGAGCCTGGGGTGGGGTGGGAACCCGGAGTCTTCCTGCACTTAGATTTCCCCTCCCTTTCATCCATCCTCATGTAGTCGCTCAAGCCCCAAGCTGTGGACGGTCAGAGGACATGCACGCAGAGACATCACGGTGAAGCCAACAGCAGCGGGGAGCTGGGGCTGGCCCCCCTCCGGGGGCTTCTCAAACAGAGGGCTTTGTCTGCACCGTGGTCAGATGTTTGCCCCTGGGGAGACCGCTCGAGGTGTGTGTGAGACGGGGAAGAATGAGATGCCCGTTCCCAGGCACCGTCCTCCTGGTGGCCAGCTTCTGGGGAGAAAAGGATTCCGATGGACTGTGATGGAAGCGGTAGCTCTCTCACCAGAAAAATGCACAAGCTGTGCCTTCTTAAACACATCGTCATCTCTGTCATCAATTCCAGGAAACAATCCGCAAACATCACGGTTAAGAAGCTCTGCTCCAGCCCTAACCGGTTTGGCTCAGTGGATAGAGCGTCGGCCTGTGGACTAAAGGGTCCCCGGTTTGATTCCGGTCAAGGGCACATGCCCAGGTTGCGGGCTTGATCCCCAGTGGGGGCGTGAAGGAGGCAACCAATCAATGATACTCTCAGCATTGATGTTTCTATCTTTCCCTCTCCTTTCCTCTTTGAAATCAACAAAAATATATTTTTTAAAAAAAGAAGCTCTGCTCCATATTTTTCAAAGTATGATATATACTCCACTGATGGTGCCCAAGATGATTTTGGAGGGGTATGAGGACAAGAATTTTCATTTTAATAGGTCAATATTTATTTTAAAGTGCTTATAAAAACTGCGATTTCATTGGTGGTATTGCCTACAATGGCTAAATGGTAAGCTAAAAGGTGAGTCTAGTTTCTGATAAATGTTAAACAGAATAGTCCAAGTGGTATGCCAATTCAGAAAAAAACGGGAACAGTGATTCATGGATGACTCAAACCTGGGAAACAGTGCATATGGTCTTGGGAGGATTGAACCTAAAGTTTTTTTCCTTTCCTATTTCTTTTTCTTTCTTTCTTTTTTTTTTTTTTTTTTTCTTTTTTAAATGCCGGTTTCAGCTCAATAAATGAACTTTGTGACCCACTAACAATGTGAGCTCCAGCTGGGAAAACACCGTACCGGCCTTCGGAAGTCACGGTGAGAAGAGGGCCTGGCTTCCCTGCACAGTCATCGCTCTCTCACTTGCTCAAGGTGGGCAGCTTCACTCTCTCAAGCCCAAGGTCAAGGCAACAGCAGACCTTGTCTCATCCCCACAGTATGCTGGTTCAAACGAGTTTGACTTGTTTTGTGTGTGTGTGTGTGTGCCTTCGTGTGAGTGTGAATGTGTGTGTAAGTGTGTACACAGAGGGGTGTGGCAAAGTAGGGAACAGGGGAAACCGATGGGGCCAGGCCTTCTCCCTGGAGATTTCCTAGGGCTCCAGGAGGCTTCCCGCCAAAGACCCCGAGAGGGGCAGCAACCAGAAATGAGCCCCAAACGACAGGGTGGGAGCCTGATACTCCCCTTCCCCATCATCACCCCTCTTGGTCCTCACGTGACAGGAGCTGGGCTCTCACCTCCGGGTCCAGCAGAAGGAGAGAAGGGAGGTGGAGAAGGCAAGGAGGTTGCTAGAAGGGCTTAGCGAGACAGAAGAACAGACATGTCTTGTCTCCACTCAGGCCTTGCGAAGAGGGCTTCTCCCAGGAAGATTTCTCCTCGAATTACCTCTCTCCCTCAGCTTAAAAACAACCCTATACTAGTTTCTAGAACAGACATCTGTACCGGAAGCTGACAGCAACTGGAGGACTGGGTGCGCTGGCCACAGGTTTGTGTGTGGTTCCTAGGTTGGGGCGGATGTACGGATGCCTGCAACAGGGTCACGGCGGGCAAGGGCAGGGGTAGGAACCAAACTTGGTCTCGGTATTCTCCGAGTGCAGCCCCCAAGGGTTGCAAAGCAAAGCGGAATCACGTCCGCGGAGCTGGGGGGCGGAGCCCTCTCGGGCAGCTGGCCAGGAGCGATGCTCCGATGGTACAGGGAGGAGAAGCCACACCCCGAGGCGCCTGTTTGTGGACGCAGCGATAACGGAGGGCGGCTCCCCTGTGCCATCACGAGCCTTAGAAGCCTCTAGTCTCCTGGTTCCAACCTCTCACTTCCTGCCCTCAGGTTTAGTGACATCAGTGGCTACACCTTCTGCCCCTTCAGCACGACCTGGCACTACACATCCACTTCCGAGATCAAATCGGGCTCCCGCTGCAGAATGCCAGCTCCTGGCAGCGTCCCTAGGAAACCTCCCAGATTCAAACCCCCTCGCCCCTCAGTCACAGCCTCCGCAGGGGCAGCTGCCATTAACCTCTCACCTCGGGCTACGCAGCAGCCCCCTGCCCAGGCTCCCTCCGTTTCTTCTGGCTCTGCAGCCAGGGTGCTCATCGGAAGATGCAAATCTGACCATGCCACACCCGCGCTTAAATCCCTCCCCCGGCTTCTCATTGTTCTCCGAATCAAGTTCCGAATCCCCGACCACAGCCCAGAGGGGAATGTGGCCCCAGCGGCTCTCGGGCCTCCTCCCACGTCCATCTGCTAGCTCGTCGGCTTTGGGCAGATTCCTTTTATTTCTGTCCCTTGACGATGCCAAGGCCTTACTCTTCAGAGCCTTCACAGGTTCTGTTCCCTCTGGCGGGAATGCTTCTCCCATCCCACGTCACCTCTCCCTGTAAGTGTCATTTTCTTTAAGACAGCTCTCCTGGAACCCCCCCACCCACCTCCAGATCCATTATCTGCTCACATCGGATAATTAAGTAATCACAGTGCAATTAGTACATCCCTCCTCACTCCTCATTAGCTTGTTAGCTCCACGGAGACTGGCATTGGTTTTACCCACTGGTGCCTCCCCAGCGCCTCCCTCAGGGCTGCCAACTATTACGGGGTCAAGTGAGTGAGTGAGTGAATAGATGATTGAAGAATTAGGCAAGTCCTTTCACCCAAAGATCCACAAGCAACGTGCGAGGGCCATCTTGGAAGCAAGAGCCAGAAGGAGGGAGCAACGATTGCTTTCCGTCCAAGCACGGAGGCCCGAGCACGATGTCACCAGTCCTACCGCCAGGCCTGGAGAAGGCCCAGGGAGTCAGCTTGACCTCTGGCCTGAGCCTGCCTGGAGCCCTGGAGTGGGAGGCAGTATCAGTTTTGGAATCAGATACACTTTTTGGAATCAGATACCCAGGCTCTTTGGCCTTGGATAAATTACAGGGCCACCGGAAGCCTCAGTTTCCACATCCTAAAATGGGAATAACAGAACCTTCGCCGGGCTCACTTAGACGTTTAATCGCCGCCAGGAACCTGTACGGCACAGCAGCGTGCAGCCGCAGAGAGCAAATCCCTTCTCCCCGGCAAACTGGCTCAGCCCTTTCCTCTCCCCCTTCTGGACACCCAAACCCGTAGGCAAGACAAGGAATGAAGGGACGTTTGAGGGTTGGGAGGACAGAGTCCTCCATTCCTGCCCACCCTGACCTTTCCATCCACCCACAAGAGGGCCTCGGGCAAGACTGGGGCAGCACCGGGGGATCCCGACTAGCTGAGAAGGGCGGATAACCCGTGCCTTTTAGGGGCAGGAATAGGGTGAGACGGGGACGGGAGAACAAACAGGTAAGCTTGGAAAGCTATTCTTCAGACCGAAGTAACGAGCAGCTGCCAAAAGGGAGAGGCCCATAGAGGGGACCAGGAAGGAAAGCCTGGGCAGAGGAGGGGCTGAGAAAAAGTGGTCCACCTGGTCAGAGGGCAGAGGCTGCAGGGAGAACAGATAGGAAGGCGGGGGTCATTGCGGGGCGCTGGGAAGTAGCAGCTAGAAGAGGGGCCAGGGTTAGGGCTGGGAGGGAGAGGAAGGGCAGACTCCTGGCGAGGAGGAGGTCAGGGGCATTGACTCGCGTGCTGGAGAGAGGAAAGAGGAGACGCAGCGGGGAGGGCGGGCGGAGGTGGTCACCTTGAGTCCTCCTTCCTAGAGGGCAGGTGCACGGGGCTTGGAGAGCTGGGGGAGGACGGACTGGCCGAGGGGGAGGGACCCGGGACCCCGGGCCCCGCTGTCCCGCCGTACCTGAGCGTCTCCTTGCAGCTCGCCCACGTAGTACTGCTCCAGCCAGCGGCGCGCGTTGGCCGAGTGCCGGTGCGGGGGCCCGTCCAGGTCGCCGCGCACGTCCTGGCCGGCCCGCGCCCGCAGCAGCTGCTCGCCCCCCGGGTGCTGCCGCAGGAAGCCGGTGAGGTCGTAGAGGCGAGCCCCGCAGCGGACCCAGCAGGCGCCGGCCGCCAGGCGCTGCTGGACCTCGGCGGGCGAGAAGGAGGCGGCGGGGGGCGGAGCGGGGGCCATGGCGGGAGAGCGGGGCGCTCGCGCCGGCAGCTCGGAATCCGGGCGTCTGCTCCGCGGCCGCCCAGCGCGCCTCTAACATCCCCGGAGCCGCGGACGCCCTGACGGGCCGGCCGCCACCGCACCTGCTCATTTGCATACCGCGCTCCCATTGGCGATGCCGGAGGGGGCCCCTGTCCTCATTGGCCCGCGCGGGAGGCCAGGGGGCGGGCCCGGCGCTGCGGGCCGCCTGCCCCGTGGCCCCCGCGCAGGTAGAGGGCGCGCCCGCCCGCCAGGTGTGTCCCGCCGCCGCCGGAGGAGAGCGGAGAGGGCGGCCTTCTGCAGGCGGAGCCAGGCTTCCTCTCTCCGCGGGCTGAACGGACCTTCCCGGCGGCCGGGTCGCCGCCGGATCAACTCTTTCTGCTTTTGCTTTTCTGGGAGGAAATTGCAGTTTTTCCATCCTCAGGCTCCGGGATAGGGCGGGCAGGACGGAGGCGAGTGAGGCACTGGCATGCGGCGCAACATGCATGAGGACGCCTCCACGCTCAGTAATTACAGTTTATAACTTTTAAAAAGTCCTCACCTGAGGATATGATTTTCACTGATTTTGGAGAGAGGGGAACGGAAAGAGAGAGACAGACACACGCAGAGAGACACATGGATTGGTTGCCTTCTGCATGCAGTCCAGCCTGCATCCTCGCCTTGTGTGCTGACGCTGATGGAGACTCTAAGGCAACTCGTCAGTGCACTGGAGCCACACCAACCAACGGAGCCACACCAGCCAGGGCGATAGATAACATTGTAACGTAATTAAAAAAAAAAATCATTGTTGCACACGAATAGGAATGTCCTTCATGACACTTAAAATGGTAAATTTTACAATATGTATATTTTACCACAATCAAAAGATATGTTATAATTTCTTTTTAGAAAAAAAAAATCATATTGGCAAACCACAGCCTGCAGGCTAGCTACCTGTTTTCTGCAAGTAAACTTTTATTGGATTTGGGACTAGGGAGGTGAGTGAGGCAGGATGGTTGAAAGTGAAGGGTGAGATCTTGTCTTTGATCTATCAAGTTTTGGGATTTTGTTCATTAGGAGTGTTTTGCACAAATGTTGAATTTTTTAAATCCTGCATTAAAATATTCTTCATCTTGATTGCAGGGTGTGTGTGTGGGGGGGAGAGGGGGGCGGCGCGCATTTGGCATGCCCTTGAGTTTTGTACCCAGAACTACTGCCTCACTTGCCTCTCACTCTGGCCTCACCCTTCAGGAGAGGACGGAGGATCCTGTCTCCATCACACAGGGCAAACTAGGGACCAAAGGGAGAAAAGCCCTCTGCTTGCGCCAGATGGAAGGGAACACGGGGTGCTCTCTGGTTTTACTTATAAGAGGGAAGAGGTGCACACATCATTACTTGCCCAGCAATTGGAGTTCTCCTTTGACCTCATGATTTGTAATCAAAGGACCCTGGTACTGAGGCTGCCCCATCCAGCGGGGCCTCAGTCTGTCAGGAAAAGGTATTTTCGGGGCCACCAGTGCTGTGGAGGACGTCAACCATGCCCAGAGTCGGGAGAGTTGTCTCTTCTTTCTCTCCCCCTTCCAGGCCGCTCCTGGCTCACCCTCAGGGAGTAGGCAAGAGTTGGGCTGTCGATGCATCTGCTGTGGAACTGCTTCCCAACAGGCCTGGAGCCGTAGGTCAAATGGCAAATACATCGTCACCCTTACACCAGTTCACACCTACTCAGCTCCAAATACCTGGCGTGTGCAAAAGCAGCCAAACACACACACCTGTGGGTTCTTCCTGCTGACAGTGTCTGTGGGAAACCCCCATGTGGATTTCTCACCATTGCCTTAAACTCTCCTTCTCTCAAGTCAGCCAAGCAACTTAAGCTATTGACTCAGGATGATAATACTTTCTCACCACAGGTCGCTTCATATTTGGTATTAAAGATACAGTATAGTCCGCTTGCATGGCTCCATGGTTGAGTGTCAATCTATAAACCAGGAGGTTACAGTTCAATTCCCAGTCAGGGCACATGCACGGATTGTGGGCTTGATCCCTGGTTGATGGATCTCTCTCATCACTGGTATTTCTTTTCTTTTCTTTTTTTTAAATAATATATTTTATTGATATTATACAGAGAGGAGGAAGGGAAAGAGACAGAGAGCTAGAAACGTCGATGAGAGAGAAACATCGAACAGCTGCCTCTTGCACACCCCCTACCGGGGATGTGCCTGCAACCAACGTACATGCCCTTGACCGGAATCGAACCTGGGACCTTTCAGTCCGCAGACCAACGCCCTACCACTGAGCCAAACCGGTTTCAGCATCACTGGTATTTCTTTCTCTCTTTCTCTCTCTCACTCCCTCTTGCTCTTCATCTCCCTTTCACTCCAAAATCAATAAGAAATACATATGTATATTTTAAAAGATACACTATATAAAGGTGTATACATAACATTAATGGCAATCTTGTTTATAGACTAGAAGCAACCCAAATATTCCTCATTAGGGAATGGTGTATTCAGACATTTAAATGCTATGTAGCCATTAGGAAGAACGAGACAGATTTACTTGTACTGATAAGAAAAAATCTCCAGAGCATTGTACATGGAAAACAACAAGAATGGTGTGTACAGTGTGCAACAATTAATCTGCTATTTTTAATTCTTTAACCCATCTGAAGAAAAGTTTCTATAGCTTATATACCTAGGAAGGCACTTGTTGGGTCATAAGATATGCAAGCATCCCATTTGCAAAAAAATGTAAATCAACTTCTAAGTGGCTGTACTATTTTACACCCCATGAAAGATGCATGTTTCCTAACCCTACGTATGAAAATAAGGCAAAGATACCCATTCTCATCACTTACATTTAACATTGCATCAGAGGTCCTACCAGTGTTGCAAGGCAAAACAAAAAAAATGAAAGGCACATAGAGAAGAATCAAAGACTATGAGCTTCTTTAAAAAAAAAAAAAGTGTTTTATTGATTTTTTACAGAGAGGAATGGAGAGGGAGAGTTAGAAACATCAATGAGAGAGAAATATTGATCAGCTGCCTCCTGCACACTCCCTACTGGGAATATGCCCGCAACCAAGATACATGCCTTTAACCAGAATCGAACCTGGGATCCTTCGGTCCACAGGCCGACACTCTATCTACTGAGCCACACCAGTGAGGGATCTATGAGCTTCTTTTTGTTTACAATCATTTTGAAATGTACAACTCAATGGCATTTTGAACACTCCCAATGTGCAACCATCACCTCTTTCATCACCCAAAACACTTTCATCACCCAAAAGGGAGCTCTATACCATTAGCACTTCCCCCATTCCCTTCTGACCCCCATCCCAACTCCAGCCCCAGTATCCAGTAATCTGCTCTCTGTCTCCACGGATTGGCCTATTCCCAATATTTCATGTAAATGGAATCACACAGCAGGTGTCTGCTTTCTTTTTACTTAGCATGATTTTGGAGGTTCCTCCATGTTGGAGCATGTATCAGTATTTTATTCCTTTTGAAGGCTTAATAACATTCCACTGTACAGATATAGCACTTTTTTTTTTATTCCTTCAAAAGTTGATAGATATTTGGGTTGTTTCCATCTTTTGACTATTTTGAATAGTGCTGCAATGAACATTTGGCTTTTTTCTGTGTAAAATAGGAATTTAAAAAAAAAACAAAAACCCTGGCCTGGCTGCCTCAGGGGCTGTTGTATAACCCAAATGAGAACTCATAAAAAAGCACCCTGTGAGCTGACTGGCCCCGTCATGACTGTAGTGGGAGTTGCTGGTGCTGAAATATTATGGCTATGGCCAGGATGATGGATATGGTTATAGGCAGATGCACCTGTTCCAGCCCCATGGATGGAAAGACAGGCGTCCCTGGCCCCAGCCCTCCCTAAGTTGACCACCCAATGCCCAATTGCTGGGTCTGGCGGAGACCAGCTGCTCACAACTGAATCTACAAGTTCATTTCAGATAAAGCAATCAGGGCAAAGGGGACAATTCTATACAAGGACAATAACTTGCTTTGATGTTCTGAATCATAAGTTGGCCTTGCTACCACTGGGCCTGAGCCATTCACAGGTGAGTGGAATAACATTGGAACAACTCTGCTGGGTAAGGTGCGTCCATGGTTGGGGATCGTTGAGAAACTCCTCAGTGCTTGATGCTAGAGACCAAACTGCAGTGCAGAGGGTGACCTTCATCGCCTTCATCTTGGCCAAGTGCCCATACTCTCCTGAGCAAGGACACCAAGGAAAGAGAAGAGACCATCATATGCCCCATCCCCCGCAAAGGGAAAGAAAAAAAAAAAACCAGCATGTGAAGCTGGAAAGTACTTGTATTCATTAAAAAACAAAACAAAACTAAAAACAAAACTTTCTAAACTGCTTTGATGCCAAATGCCGAGAACAGAGGGAATATATACATTTGGAATTGGTATAAACAGCTCTAACAATCCCAGGGCATTTGCTTGGGGGTCAGGATCCCATCCAATCTTTCGAAACATCTGCACAATTTCTAGGACACAGTAAGTGTTTGAGGCTGGAGTTTTTCCTCCCTGTCCACCAGGTTCCTCCACACCACCCACCTCCGTGTTCCCACGCTCACTCCCCAGATCGAAGATGGGAAGGGAGCAAGGGAAGCTGGAGCCATGGCGACTTGGGGCCTCTCAGCTCACCTGGGCACACCTGAGTTGGCCCCAGTGCACACTAGGTGTGAGTATATCCACCAGCATCTTTTTTTGTTTGGTTGTTTACTTTTTTTGTTGTTGTTCATTTTCACCCGAGGATATTTTTTCCATTGATTTTTAGAGAGAGTGGAAGGGGTGGGGGGGGAGACAGAGAGAAACATTGATGTGAGAGTGATACATTGATTGGTTGCCTCCTGCAACCTGCATCCAAGGTACATGCCCAGGACCTTTCAGTCCATGGGCTAGTGCTCTATCCATTGAGCCAAACTGGCTAGGCATATCCAGCGGCATCTTAATGATGGCAGCTCTCGTTCCATTCTCACTCTTGGCTGTTGAACATAACCTCCGGTGGATTCTGGGATTCTGGCCCCTTCCCTGACATTCACACTCCTAATCCTTTGACAGCATCTTCTTCCCCCGCCCCCTTCATTA